AACTAAAAGCACCCAACGACGGTTTCCTCCTAAACGTATTGAAAATGCTTTTTAGGCGATAAACAGTACTTTTAGACCTCTAAAAATGCGCTATAAAATTTGTATCTGTTCGGTCATCCTATGACAACTAGTAAGAGTCCTTTCAAATTAAAAAGGGAGCAGTATTGTTTTCTCGAAAATCTTAGATGCAATTTTATGTTTTAGGCCCGGTTCAGACGCCGTACTTTTCATGAGCCGAACCTAATACATTGAATTAAGTACATGAAAAGTTCGGCGTCTGAATCAATTAGGAACGCCTGTTTCAATTTGGAACGGCTCAGCCGTTCTTTTCGCCTAGCTCGGCCGGGAATTTCGCCTTTGGATCGACTTAGGAACGCCTTTGATTCAGACGCCGAACTTTTCATGTACCGAACCAAATGCAGAAATTCTTACAACGTATTTTGTAAGCAGTTTGACCGAAATGCGCATTTTTCGCCTTCTGAATTTAGTTCGGCTGGAATTAAGATCGGCGTCTGAATCACTTTTGCCGGTCTAAATAATTTGGGTCGGCCTTAATTCGAATTAGGCTCGGCTCATGAAAAGTTCGGCGTCTGAACCGGGCCTTACAAAAGTAAGAATTTTTCTGATTCCTCTTTCTGTCGCAGTCTTGAATGCGAAAATTTTAGGTTTCCTTTTTCTACGAAAAATAGCTTAACCTGGAGAGTAAAATGCGAAAAATTAAACTTTATAAAGTCGTAGGGAATTTATAAAATAAGCTTTGAAAATTGGACATGAATAGACGGTCATCTAGAAAATTCTAGGCAATGTTTGCTTCTCCGAACAGATATTTTACAGAAAACAGTCGTTGCGTGCCCCTGTTTAAAAAACAGTTCTCGGTCCGTCCGAGTTCAAATCCTTGTCCACGCTCGTAAATAGCCAACTGGCTGCCTCATGCCAGTTGGGGTTTTTCATCCTGTTATGTTCTATTTGGATGTTTTGTTTCGAATTTATTATTTGTGTGGAGTGCCTGACTGTAAACTATATTTACTGTATTCCATCATTTGTAAATACGCAATTCAGCCTTCGGGCTGCAATGTATTGGTAATTAAACTATCTATCTATCAATCTATCTATCTATCTAAACAAAAGCAGCGCACTCTCCACTATAACCAAAATTTAACCTTTAACCTTGTTTCAATGCAATGTTTTTTCATACACAGCAAAGGAGGCTGACGCTTGAGCGATCATTTAAGTCCAATTTATGGAGCACTTAGCGGGTTACTTTCTGTTTGCTTCATTTGGCTGTTATTTACGTTCCTGATATTGACTGTCTGCATTTCAGTACAGTTGTACACGGCAGAAGTTCTTTACATCGTTTTTTGCTCGTTACCCGCTCCAACTCTAATTCTGCGAAATGGTAAAAGGAAAAAAAAGAAACCGCACACACACCGCTCTGCCTTGTGCATGAGTGAATAGCTACACTGCGATGTTCATATTGAAATGTTAATTAACTTCGTTAAAAATACTTTTTTGTTGTTTATAGGCATTCTTTTACTTGAAATATAAGAGACAGAGCCCGCGAGAATCAGATCGGGAAACAACAATTGCTTAACGGTGAATAAACTACGCAACTACGCAACTACCTCGATTGGGTACACACATTATTTCATTCAACTGTACACTGCTTCAAAGTCATTGGGCAACCAGTCCAACTATCTTGGAAGGCAGTGTGGCCGAGTGCACAGCGCGTCAGACTCAATATCCGGCGGTACCGGGTTTAAGTCCCGCTCTGGCCACTTGCTGGATTTGTTCTCGGTCCTTCCAAGTTCAAATCCTCGTCCACGCTCGTAAATAGCCAACTGGCTGCCTCCTGCCAGTTGGGGTTTTTTATCCTGTTATGTTCTACAGTAAAACCTCTATTAAGCGGACCCCCAATTAAGCGGACACTAAGCCGGGTCCCGAAACGAACGTCTGCATGATATTTCCCTTTATGACGAACCCCTATTCAGCGGACACCTCTATTAAGCGGACGCGGACACTAAAATAAGTTGTATTTGGCTAATTTCTATTGTTAAAAACCTCTATTAAGCGGGAACCGGACTGAATTGACAATAGTAGTATTGGATTACGTCCTTAAAATACGTACTGCATTTACAAACAAAGTTGGTAATGAAAGGTAATAAACTTGAACTATAGCTTCTTTAACGACATGCAACTTTATCACAGTACAGAGTAACCGTTGAATGTTGATCGTTAACAAACATTGCGCAATTTTTACAACCCCTATTAAGCGGACACCCTCTATTAAGCGGACGCTTGGGAAGTTCCCGACGGTGCCCGCTTAGTAGAGGTTTCACTGTATTTCGATGCTTTGTTTCTTATTATTTGAATGGAGTGCCTGTAAACTATATTTACTGTACTTAGTTTCATATACACATTTTACCAATTCCATCATTTGTAAATACGCAATTCAGCCTTCGGGCTGCAACGTATTGGTAATTAAACTACCTATCTATCAATCTATCTTTCTAAACTAAAGAATTGCACTCTCCACTATAAACAAAACTTTAACCTTTAACCTTGTTTCAGTGCAATGTTTTTTCATACACCGCAAAGGAGGCTGACGCTTGAGCGATCATTTAAGTCCAATTTATAGAGCACTTAGCGGGTTACTTTCTGTTTGCTTCATTTGGCTGTTATTTACGTTCCTGATATTGACTGTCTGTATCTTAGTACAGTTGTGCACGGCAGAAGCTCTTTATATCGTTTTTTGCTCGTTACCCGAAATGGTAAAAGAAAAAAACAGAAACCGCACACACTCCGCTCTGCCTTGTGCATGAGTGAATAGCTACACTGCGATGTTCATATTGAAATGTTAATTAACTTCGTTAAAAATATTTTTTCGTTGTTTATCTTCGCAGGCACTCTTTTTCTTGAAATATAAGTGTACACGAATCAGCTCGAATCCGGATTTAAAAACGTGCGGTTTCAAAAATTGATTTTAAGATAAGCCGAGGGCCGATGTAAGAAAAATACATGGTCTTAACAACATAAAAACTCAGGACTTTTTTGTAAAACAAATTATTTTCACAGAATACTAATTATAATCGGCTGGAGAAGGTATAAAGGAATGACATTTTCTGCTGAAAAAAAAATTAAAACAAGTTTATCGAATAGGATGCTTTTATTTGAGTACAAATATTTTAGACGTTAAGTTTATCGTCGGTAATGAAGATTTAGAAACCCAGCTTCGTGTACTAGGGTCGGTGATTTCGACTAATCACTATTTACTGAGTATTGTTTGAATGAATAGAATTCAGTGCTAAAATTAATAATTGAAAGATTCGACTACCAACAAGGTAACAACACAACAGCAATTTTTTTAAGGCGAAATTCTGCCCTCGTTTGTAAATCCAAAACAATGCGCTAAAATCATACGGTTTCCTTACTGTTATTTACTGGGTAAGCAAAGGAACAGTAAGCGTGAACTGCTTGTTTTGTACCAGGGCGTCATAGCCGACGTTATATCAAGAGATCGAAAGAGAGGTCGAGCGATCGAGTCTAGGCACCATTGAAGAGACAAAACAGGATGGCGGACAGCACACTGGACCGCCAGAGAGATTATAATCCAACGGCCCAGACGGGGTCCTCCAAAGTTAAAGTGACGGGGATGATCGAAAGAGGGCAAAAATCAAAACCCCAAAAATGTCCCTGAAACAAACAATAAATACAAAAAAGGTACCTTGCCCAAACTCTATAACCGGAATGCAAACCAAATAAATCAGACTTGTAAGAGTTTTAAGAGTGTTGTAAGAGTTTTTTTTTAATTGATCCCTGCTTGCTTTGAGGTTCTCGTCTTTAAGTGTCAATATATTTAGCACTTAATTATATACCTGTTTAGTTAATCCGATATTGTCAGCAAAGCTATTATCCTTTAACTTTTACGAACTGTGCAATTAAGGATTATTTTGGATAGTTTCAGATAAAATTTTCCTTTACAAATAGGCAAACTGTCCAATTTAAGAAAAATAGGACAGCTGGTCTGAGCCAATCAAATACCAAAAAATGCAATAGGCAATGCAAACTAGCCAATCAGCTCAAAGAAACTGTGACAACGCGCCAAAACATGATGTCTCATTGTCTAACGGCGGTCCGTCGGCGAACACTCTTGGCTTCTTGTTGCTGTGAATGGGTTTTTTTTGTTTTGTTGCTGTTTTGTTCTGCCTTCTTGTCTTGGTTCATATAAAAGGAAAATATAAGACCAAACTGCTACAAGTTTGTATTGGAAACAACCAACGATTCTTAAAAATGTACAAGCTCTGAAACTTTGGACAAGAATAAGGCCGGGGAATAAGAAAACACTGATAGTTGTGTTTAGATGTTATTGTACTAGGCATTACAAAACAAACGGACAAAGTCTGCGGAAATCGTTTGAGGTAATGAATGAAATGTTTGCTTTTAATAGTTTTCGTGTTTAAAGTGTTTAAATTAAGTATTTACATTGTTGCTTTGTCTTTTTTGTACTCGAAATTGTGATTTTCACACGTAGCACCGTATCACTGAAAGCCGTCATTGATGAAGGAGCATTTTAAAATTTAAACTTGACAACAAAACGGTAAGTACGAAACAGCAATACTAGTGCTACGCATGTTTTACTTGACCTAGTTGTTGGCGATGTGTAGAGAGCGGCAGGCAGACTCTTTACTTGTCAGGAATACAAAGCAGGGTTGCCAAGAGAGTCATTCGTCAATCACGGCCTGAACAACGCAGTGCGAGCAAATTCAAGTTGTAGAAAGAATACTAATAGACAAAGAGCAATAGGATATATGAAAAGAAATTATCTTTAATAAAAAATAATACGACAGTTACAGCACTTACTTGGTCACAAGATCAACTTAAACGGGCTTGACTAGGAGCGAACTAAATTGACAATAATAAGATACAGTTACAGCAGTTACTTGATCAACTAAAACTGACTTGTAGCCAACTCAACCTGTTTTATCGAACAGAAAATATACGTTTTAAGAGAAAAATGCCACGTAGGCGCAGGCCAAAAACAGGAAGCCGCTGACTATTGGTACTTTGGCTCCATTACACAGGTCACTTTGACAGCAACTGACGTCACACTTCTTGATCTTAATATTGTATAATGAATATACTTTTTCCAGTATTTCGCAAGCCTCGTCGTTGCATCTCGATTTCAAGGCGCATCCTTTGTAAACATATTCGTGAGTTTCACCCTGGAATTCTACGTGACCTTCAAATTTAACACAGGAATCCAGGCCGGTTGCACACTCTGTATTGTTTCCAGGAACACATTCATCCCAACTCTTTCTTGACTCACACTGGTAGCACTTTATTCCATGTCCTATAAAAGCAGCAGGAAACACTATTTAAATTTCACTGTGTAGACCTCCCGTTTTACAGGCATTTAAAGAGATGTGCTAAAGTATCTCAACCAACACATGATGTCGTTTTACAGATTCCGTCACGGGCTACCGCTCAGTTTCTCCAACTAATTTTATTTTCTTTAGTTTTCCTTGGCGAGCTGCGAAGAACGTTGTTTATTAGCTTGTGTGATGTGGCGTGGTTCTATTGTTCATTGTCTTTTGATTTTTTAGTGATGGAATTACATCCTATCAACCCCTTTTAGGGCCTGTTTACATGGAGGTGGGGGACCCCAGGTAGGTGGGGTAATCCGCTTAGGTTTAGGGTACGTTAACATGATAGGTGGGGTGACCTGTCTCACGTTTCCTCACCTTTCGGGGTCCCCCACCTTTTTTAATATTGTCTGATCAGTCGTAACTTAGATAAACAAAAAAAGCAGAAGAATATTTAACGAGAAGTTAAAAAATGAAGGACCTAAGGATGACTGTAAGCCCCTCAAAATCTTTTTGAATTAAAAACCTACTTGGAAGTGACCCCCTGTGTGCTCCAGAATTTCCAACGTTTAAGCTGGCCCGAACCTGTTTATATGCGCGTTGGTTATGTTTTTGAAGCACGTTGTTTGGTTGAAATGATTTAACCGATTTCTATGATTTTTGGCATCCTTAATAAATAATGGTGCAACTTTAAGAAAATCAGTTATTTATTTTCTTGTAGGTATAAGAACGCTCGAGATATCGGCATATGTTTATACCGCATTTTTACACAAAGAGTCAATAAGTTGGAAACTCTGTGACAGATTTTTCTCTAACTTCAGCAAATAAGCCTCAGAGCTCTCTTGTTTTATATCTGCAAGTTTGAAGTCAATCGTGACCGTAGAACTCGCTGCACAAAATGCTGGTCAAATTTAACCATACATAAAATGCAACGTTAACACATTTGTGAAAGCTGACGGACAAATAGAGGAAGAGTGCCGACGGACTATCTCCTGTCTGCAAGGCTTTTCTTGCCTAAAGCTTTACCGTCTACGTACAAGAAACTGAGTAATCAGAAACCTAAGGCAAATACAGTTCGCAATACAAGAAGAACGACTTTATGCTGAAATGTTCTTTAATGGAAACCCTGACCACTTTGAAGAATCATCTTTATACATGGAGCCAAGTAATAAAAGAAGAAAAGGAAGAACCAGAAAAGCAGTTTTATCGACTTAGGGCCTGTTTACATGAAGGTGGGTGACCCCAGGTAGGTGAGGTAACATGTGGCGGGTTACCTCACCTAACATGTAAACGTGATCACATTAAAATGAGAGATTATATGGAGAGGCGGGCTACCCCACCTAAGTGGGTTACCTCACCTATCTGGGGTACCCCACCTCCATGTAAACAGGCCCTTAAAGGGCTTGGTGTAATGAGCATCCAAAAGTGACAAAAATTAAGAGATCGCAAAAAATTTTATAAAAGAATTTGCAGTCGGAAACATATTTCAATAATGTCGGTTTATTCTCTTTGAATTGTAAATTGACTTGACCGCAACACCTTTCTTCGCACGACCAGTTTGCTTAATAGCATTTGCATTGATTCCATTTAAGAAAGCAAAGGCTAATTTCACGAGAAAAGCATTGCCTAGTTTAAACGTGTAAACGTGATCACAATAAAAAAAGAGAGATTATATGAAGAGGCGGGCTACCCCACCTAAGCGGGTTACCTCACCTACCTAGGGTCCCCCACCCCCATGTAAACAGGCCCTTAAAGGGCTTGGTGTAATGAGCATCCAAAGGTGACAAAAATTAAGAGATCGCAAAAAATTTTATAAAAGACTCTGACTCTGAAGATGACTACCGCACAGGTTGTCGAAACGTCAGTCACTGTCAACAACAACAGTCCTATTCAGGACTACGTTCACCCGGACGATCAAACTCAACCTATTGAAAAGAATTTGCAGTCGGAAACATATTTCAATAATGTCGGTTTATTCTCTTTGAATTGTAAATTGAATTGACCGCAACACCTTTTTTCGCACGACCAGTTTGCTTAATAGCATTCGCATCGATTCCATTTAAGAAAGCAAAGGCTAATTTCACGAGAAAAGCATTGCCTAGTTTAAAGAAAAAAATTCTTTGAATGCTCTCACATATTGCAATTCAACTACAGGACATACAGTGACATGACGCTTGCTTAAAATTCTATATCGGTGATTTTTTTCACAAATTAAGAATTTTAAGCAAGCCAGAACAAATTTGTGTGTGTGTCTCTATGTGTCATCAACAAGATGTTTTCTTTTCCTCTTTTTTTTCCTATACCACAGTCCTTACGCGAACTCGGTTCGTGCTTGAGCTACGCCATAAAATTAGTGAAAATAGAGTCGATAAACTTGACAGAAAAAAAAGAATTAATCCTTTAAGCCCCAGTATGCACATACAAATTCTCCAGATTGATCTCCATACATTTCGTTTAAGAATAGTTGAGAGAATTTCGTTTAAGATCAAAGCATTCTCCTTTGGTAATCAATTTAGTAATTCTCATAACCTTCACTCTTGATGATCTGCTGATGTTGTTAGGAGAAAATTGATGTTGGTCACTCTTGGGACCCAAAGGATTAATCCGTTAGGAACCTACAGAGCTACATCTAGCAGGCCCGTTAATGAAATAGTGGCAATGTATGAACAACCGGGAACAGGTGATTAGACACATGACACATGACACATGACAAAATAACAGATAGTTCATACCTTCGGAGATACAAAAGGCAAATACCAACACTGACGCAAACAAAGATTTCATTCTTTAAGACGCTTGTGACTGGGAATTCCGGCAAAACAGCAGGGAAGTTAAAAACCTTCAGAGCTACACCTGTGAAACTGATTTTAGCACAAATAGAAATGCAGATATATTGACTCAAAGGGCTTGGCTGCAATGTACGTCAGAAGGTAGCTGCAGCCAATAGAGAAATCGCAAAAAGCTCATAAATAAATCTACTAATAAATGTCATAATTTCACCAATAAGAAAGAACCGTGTTTGAATTCCGGGGGGGTGAATCAGGTGAAGGTTCGGTAGAGGTGTGCCTTGGAGCTTCTCAAACCCTCACGTTTTTTACGACAAAAATCGTTCATCTCGCGGCTCTATCCAAGACAAGAGACCTTATTTCATGATCCTGATTCATTTCTTTTGTCAGAGAGAATTAAGTAATTTTTTTAAACTAAGATCATGGAATTTGATTTTTTTGGAAAAGACATTGTTTGTACCTCACATACAGACCGCTCATTACCAAACTCCAAACTCTTCAGTCTTCCGCTCCAAAAAAACACCTTGTTCAAGACGCTAACTAGTGAAACTGCTGCCAACTTCAGGAAGTGTGAGACGAAGGTTGATTCCAATAAACCGAATTTGGTGGAGGCATACAGTAAAGGTTTTCGTCCACATGTTGATTTAATTACCGACTCTCTTGCTTTTATATAGTACAATGGAATTCCGCTTATTTAAGTGTCTTCATTGTCTCACAAAAAAAATCAAAGTCTGTGCTTAAATTATATTAATAACTAAACTGAATTTTCTTTGTACCAAGAACATTGTTGCAGTTTCTAAACGTGAAATTCAGCTCTCGTTTGCATATCCAAAATCACGCGTTCTGTCAGAAGCAAGGCGCTTGATCAAGTGTATCATGTTTATTTGCTTCTTAATAAATCTCTTGTGCAGTATATAACCGGTGTGTGTGTTTATATCTTATTTTTGGAAACTTCAGGGCCATACCTCGATTGGGTACACACATTATTTCATTCAACTGTACACTGCTTCAAAGTCATTGGGCAAACAGTCCAACTATCTTATAAGGCAGTGTGGCCGAGTGCACAGCGCGTCAGACTCAATATCCGGCGGTACCGGGTTCAAGTCCCGCTCTGGCCACTTGCTGGATTTGTTCTCGGTCCTTCCAAGTTCAAATCCTCGTCCACGCTCGTAAATAGCCAACTGGCTGCCTCCTGCCAGTTGGGGTTTTTCATCCTGTTATGTTCTACAGTAAAACCTCTATTAAGCGGACCCCCAATTAAGCGGACACTAAGCCGGGTCCCGAAACGAACGTCTGCATGATATTTCCCTTTATGACGAACCCCTATTCAGCGGACACCTCTATTAAGCGGACGCGGACACTAAAATAAGTTGTATTTGGCTAATTTCTATTGTTAAAAACCTCTATTAAGCGGGAACCGGACTGAATTGACAATAGTAGTATTGAATTACGTCCTTAAAATACGTACTGCATTTACAAACAAAGTTGGTAATGAAAGGTAATGAACTTGAACTATAGCTTCTTTAACAACATGCAACTTTATCACAGTACAGAGTAACCGTTGAATGTTGATCGTTAACAAACATTGCGCAATTTTTACAACCCCTATTAAGCGGACACCCTCTATTAAGCGGACGCTTGGGAAGTTCCCGGAGGTGCCCGCTTAGTAGAGGTTTCACTGTATTTCGATGCTTTGTTTCTTATTATTTGAATGGAGTGCCTGTAAACTATATTTACTGTACTTAATTTCATATACACATTTTACCAATTCCATCATTTGTAAATACGCAATTCAGCCTTCGGGCTGCAAAGTATTGGTAATTAAACTACCTATCTATCAATCTATCTATCTATCTATCTTTCTAAACTAAAGAATTGCACTCTCCACTATAAACAAAACTTTAACCTTTAACCTTGTTTCAGTGCAATGTTTTTTCATACACCGCAAAGGAGGCTGACGCTTGAGCGATCATTTAAGTCCAATTTATAGAGCACTTAGCGGGTTACTTTCTGTTTGCTTCATTTGGCTGTTATTTACGTTCCCGATATTGACTGTCTGCATTTCAGTACAGTTGTACACGGCAGAAGTTCTTTACATCGTTTTTTGCTCGTTACCCGCTCCAAGTCTAATTCTGCGAAATGGTAAAAGGAAAAAAAAAAAGAAACCGCACACACACCGCTCTGCCTTGTGCATGAGTGAATAGCTACACTGCGATGTTCATATTGAAATGTTCATTAACTTCGTTAAAAATACTTTTTTGTTGTTTATAGGCATTCTTTTACTTGAAATATAAGAGACAGAGCCCGCGAGAATCAGATCGGGAAACAACAATTGCTTAACGGTTAATAAACTACGCAAAAACAGCGTTTTCCTCAATATCCAGGTCATTATGCATTGAAACAGTGTTTATGCTTGTATGCGTTTACAAAACACTGTTGTATACTACAATGGTCGACACAATAGACCCCGCAAAATATGCACACAAGACTGAAAGGTTTTAAGGACAAAAACCAGCTTTTTTACTGGTGGAAAAAACTCGGGGTTTTTTTGCGGATGTTTCCCGGCGCAAAGGATATACCTCTGAACGTTCTGGAGTGACATAACTGCTTTTCCAATGTTGGCGATCAACAACTCCTAACAAATAAAAGCTCCATTTCTAGGTAAGTACTATTCACTTTTTCACGGGCCGCGAATAGTATTCACAAGTCGAACAAGAATGTTAGCCAGTTAATTAATAGAGGAAAGCTTCACTGTATGCCAGTAAATGTCAGCAATAATTCAGCGGATAATTTTTGATTTACAAAGGAGCGCAGATTTCAATTTTCACTCCTAAGGACAACAGTGTTTTTGTTACAAACCGAAACTTTTAATGGCAATTCAAACATTTACTTAGAAACTGTTTTTATTCAAGAAAGGCTTAGGTAAGCGGAAACCGCCATAATTTTCAAGTGTAGTATTGCAGTACCAATATCACAATAATCACAGATCTTTTAACACTAATTTGCACATTCCTTACCATATGTAAACACAACAATCGTATTTCTCCTCACACAGCTCACAAGATCTTAAGATCAGAGCATCTTCTTTCTAGTTTAATCCCTTTCAATAATATGCCAGCAAAAAGTTTCGACGTCTAATAAGCATGGACGTTGCGTATAACGAAACATAAAATACAACTTTGGAGGGTTGGGGGGTTCACTTAGACCGTGTCGTCTTTCTGAAATAAATTTTGTGACAAAACAAGTGTGGGAATTTAGGTTACCTTTACCGTTTAGTGAGTCTAGTCCCACGATGTAGTCACTTTTGATGAGAATCTCGAGGTCGGATGGTTCCGCCAAACTTTGTAAAGCACATCGGTTACTTTTTAACAGCTGTGATTGGTGCATTTCGATCGTCGCTGTTCCAGGCGGGTGGTCAGCATTTTCCAAAATGTGGCAGTCGAACCTTTGATCATCATCTATTGACACTCTATTTCTCTTCTATTGAAACGCTTCGCCCTTCCGAACCTTGTTCGGTGTCCAACAAGAAAAAGAGCCTCAGAGGGTAACTGCAGTTCATCGAAGCTATGGAGCCTTACCTCATCCTCAACACCATCATTCACGTCACTTTCATCTGAGACACTGAATTCAATATCGTCATCTTCATCTTCGCTTTCATTGCTGTCTTCATAGTTTGATTCGACGGGCTGGGGGGAGGGGGAGCTGTCCGGTTCGTCATGGATACCATGGCCCCTATTGAACTGGCAGGCTGGTTTCATAACAAGCGGATTGTAAAGTTCCAGCCTTTGCCTCTGTTTCTTGGCTCAGAGACCTCTGCCTGACTGCTCTCTTTGCGAATTCTGTCAGCTTCTTTCAGTCGTCTAAGCTCAGCTCACAAACGGAAAGGGATTTCATTTAACATGAGCATTTCTTGAAACTAGATCGTGCCTTCTGGGTATGGGTAAAGAGGAATGCACTCCACGTTGACAATCTCTTCACACTCCCTTTCACGCAATCTCCAAATTAACGACAATACTGCAACATGGAAAAATCGCCACCAAACACGTAAAAGGTAGCAAAATCCGAAAACCGCGTGCCGATATTAAAAGTTGTAATTTTCTGCAACGGCGCGATGATTTCTAAACCGCCAAACCGCCAGAGTATAATAGACCCTCCATAGTTGCTGTAACATGTATTATGTATTTATTCTAGAAAAAGAATTTTTAAAAAACTCACGGTAGAAGAGATTTTTAACAGAACTTCTGGGTATTCTTATACCTTGAGAATCCAAATTTTTAGACTTTTGATTGTAGAAACTGTTTTTTCTAGCCGTAAACAAAGGGTCATTTGAGCGCGCCTCTTTGCGCTATTTCCAGTTTGTTTGATTGGCTGTTATTTTTCTCTTAGTGAGGTCATTTCTTTGCATTAGGTTGATGTTCGTGAGCAGGAAATTAAAGGCGATTTGAAATTCCATGGCCGAATTAAGCTAAACGACTTCTTGTTTTAATTCTTTTTGTCAAACCTATCGACTCTCTTTTCTCGCTGCTTTTCTGGCGGAGCACGAGCACGAACCGAGCTCGCCTAAGCCGAGGACAGTTTTAAAAGGAGAAGAAAAAGAAAACAGTTTGATAATGACACAAACTAAAAAAAAATCCGAATATTTTTGTCTTAAAACTAGGTAATGCTTTTCTCCCTACCCTTTCTTTTAAAAATGGAATCAACTAAACTGCTATTAGGTAAACTGGTCGAGCATAAAATGATGAAGCGGTCAAATCAATTTAAAACCCAAAGAAAATAAACCGACATTTCTAAAATATGTTTTCCATTACAAACTCTTTTATATATAAACCCTTTGCGAAATTTTATTCACCTTCTGTCGGTCATTGCACTATGCGCTTTAAGTCTATACGTGCATCATCTTCTTTTCTAGTCAGTGTGGAAATTGATTCTGCGGTACCATTAATGTTTTGATGATTTTTGCCTTGTGCATTAGTGAATAGCTACACTGCGATATTCATATTAAAATGTTAATTAACTTCGTTAAAAATACTTCGTTGCTGCTTATCTTAGTAGGCACTCTTTTACGCACTCAGAACGAAATAAACTACGCAAAAACAGCGTTTTGCTCAATATCCAGGTCATTATGCATAAGAATTGAAACCGTTTTTAACCACAATGATCGATACAATAAACCCTGCAAAATACGCACACAAGACTGGACGGTTCTGGGGACAAAAACTCGTTTTTTGCGGATGTTTCCGCATAGGATATACTTCTGAACGTTCTTGAGAGACATGACTGCTTTTCCATTATTCGCGATCAACAACTTCCAACAAATAAAAGCTTCATTTCTGGGTAAGCACTATTCATTTTTTCACGGGCCGCGAATAGTATTCTCAAGTCAAACAAGACTGTGAGCCAGTTACTAAACAGAGATTAAACGGATCCGTGTTTTACTAAACTGCGTTTTAAGCCCTTTCAACACACCCCTACATCTATAATTGTTTGCCATTTTGTCAAAGTCGAGAAGGCCCCCGACAAAAATATTAATTATCTACTAAAAGATACACATCTCTGTTACAAACAGATTAGAAAGGGCCACAATATCCATCATTTCATTTGCAGTGGTATCGTGAGAGGTCAGGCTTCGCAACCGGAGAGGTTACGCGAGTTCTTATCTGCTGATGATCACTATTTATTGCAAGATAGAAACTGTATACTCAAACAAACACAAGGGATATAGGATATGATGTCCTGTACAAGGGATTTTTGAAGTACAAAATGAACACAATCTCACACTTAAAGCTTCAGTGAATGCCGTTAAATATCAGCACACTAAGTTTCCTGAATTCAGCGCATAATTTTTGATTTACAAAAGAGGGCAGATTTTTATTTTCACTCCTAAGAACAAAAGTGATTTTGTTACATGCCAAAACTTTTAATGGCGAATTCAAACATTTACTTAGAAAGTGTTTTTATTCAAGAAAGGAGGAGACACTTAGGTAAACTGAATTCCATTCTTTTATAAATTGTAATTGGTTGTCGTTTGTTTGTAGCTAACGTCTACATTTTACAAAAATAAAGCATTTCCTTTCAAATCAGAGTAGTCTAAATTTACTTGGTTTGGTTTAAAAACTTGAGTTTTATTCAGTTTCAGTTTTTTTCTTTCATACATCCTCTTAATTGTAAAGTCAATATGTTGTGTGTGAGAGTAAAATAACTGTCTTATTCAGGAGCATTATTTTGCCCAAACTTCTGTGTTGTTTATATTTATTTATCTTTGTTCAGACAGTGTACTTTTCGAGTCGGTAGCCTTCATTGTATTTTAAAACCAACTCTGTAAAAGACTTACAAGGTAAACTGAACGCGCGGGAAAAGGTCACGTCCGTTACTCAGCTTAGAACTGAAGGAGCCAAACTAGGCTGTTTATTATCAGAGTAAATGTAAGTTTCATCAGTTAATATATTTACAGGCTTTTTGCGATTTTTCTATTGGCCGTTACCTTTTGACGGATATGATAAACAAGCCCCACTTGGAGTCAATATATCTCCGTTTCTTGTTGTCCCGAGATCAGTTCCACACTGAGACGTAAGGCACGGCTCTCAGGATTCTTAACTTGCCAGCTCGTACAATCTCTTCACAAAATGAAATCTTTGTTTGCCTCATTGTTGGTTTTCGCCTTTTGTATCTTCGTGGGTAAGTTCTACATGTGTCCAGATATTCAGTTACTTTATTTTGATCTAGGTTATTTCAATACTGATAATTCCAGTTGAGTGATTCAGTACTACTATGTTTTAACTATTGTACCTCAGCCCACTATCATTTTCTCGATATCCAGCAGTCCATAACATTATTAAAGAGAAACACACCTTTCCCTTTAAGCTGACTTAGTAAAGACAACTTTCAAACGCCAAGCCTTTGCATTTTTTCAAACCACCGACTTCATTTTTCTGAGATTATTCCCTTTAAATAGGTGTGTTGTTTAAGAAAAGACGATTCCAGTGGCGATTTAAAATTCGAGGCTCCTCTATAACATTCTCTTAAAATTTACAATTTCTAAGCTATTTATGCTTCTTCCTATTCTTTTATCTTGTAATGTTATCTAAATTATATCTTTGTAACATTTGGCTCTTTTCTGAATAGTTGCTGTAACGTAGAATATGTATTTTATTCTAGAAAAAGAATTTTAAAAAAACTCACGGTAGAAGAGATTTGTAACAAATCTGCGTATTCTTATACCCTGAGAATCCAAATTTTTAGACTTTTGATTGTAGAAACTGTTTTTCTAGCCGTAAACAAAGGGTCATTTGAGCGCAATCATCTTTGCGCTATTGCCCATTTTCTTTTTGATTGGCTGTTATTTTTTTCTTAGTGAGGTTATTTCTTTTTTTACAATAACTGAGCGAATCCTCGCGCGCTGATTGGTCGACAGCTATGGTCTATGAGTGTATAGACCATGGAAATGACGTAACATGGTTTTTCGTAAAAAAATAAATATTATTGTAAAAAACAAATCGACCACAAATAGAAATGACGCCATAAAATGTTCAAAACTTGCGGTGAAACCACTCGCCTATTGCTCGTGGTTCCACTTGAGTTTTGAACATTTATGACGTCATTTCTATGGTCTAAGAAGATGCGTGAGCTGGAAATTCCAAGCGATTTGAAATTCCATGCCGAATTAAGCTAAAAGACTTCCTGTTTTAATTCTTTTTGTCAAATTTATTGACTCTCTCTCCTCGCTGCTTTTCTGGCGGAGCTCAAGCACGAACCGAGCTCGCCTAATTTCTTTGTATTAGACTGATGTTCGTGAGCAGAAAATTACAGGCGATTTGAAATTCCATGGCCGAATTGAGCTAAACTACTTCTTCTTTTAATTCTTTGTCAAATTTATCGACTCTCTTTTCTCGCTGCTTTTATGGCGGAGCTCAAGCACGAACCGAGCTCGCCTAAGCCGAGGAGGAGAAGAAAAAGAAAACAGTTTGATAATGACACAAACTTAAAAGAAGCCGAATGTTTTTGTCTTAAAACTAGGTAATGCTTTTCTCCCTTCGGTTTCTTTTAAAAATGGAATCAACTAAACTGCTATTAGGTAAACTGGTCGAGCATAAAATAATGAAGCGGTCAAATCAATTTAAAACCCAAAGAAAATAAACCGACATTTCTGAAATATGTTTTCCATTACAAACTCTTTTATATATAAACCCTTTGCGAAATTTTATTCACCTTCTGTCGGTCATTGCGCTATGCTCTTTTAGTCGATACGTGCATCATCTTTTCTAGTCAGTGTGGAAATTGATTATGCGGTACCATTAATGTTTTGGCAATATATATATGTTTACCAAGATAGTTTGACGACTCTCAAAACGGTTATAAAAAATGCGGTGGAATTATTACAAGTTGCGATGGCTTCGGCTGTTTTACAAAGCGCGATACAGCTAATTACAAATTGCGATGTCGTTCTTCACAGTATGAGGAAAGTGTCGAACCAACCCTGGTTGACTCTTTGGTCTTATTTCTGCTGCCTGTTTTATAAATCCAGGGCCCGTTTCTCGAAAGTCCCGATAATGCGTAAAGGAGCGGAGCCAGGAAAGCTGTTGTGGTATATTTAAAAACAAAGTTTTAAAAGTTTTGAACATCTATAATATCATAAAACTATCAGTTAACGAAACAAAATTGACCGGTTTGTTAGCTAGGAGCTGCGCTTTCATTCTTTAAATTATTATTTGAATATTTGATTTCTTTTGACTTTTGAGAAACTGGTCACGCCTGATCAGTA